ATATAATTTCTGTCTGTGTTCATCTCTGCTATTTATGAATTCAGTGCTTCCCTTCATCAGGAGGTCAGTATCATGTCCCACATACAGCTGAACAGCATGGGGCTTTTATTAGATCATGCTTTCATGGTGAGGCTCCCAGAACCTGTTGGCAGCAGTAGGTGGTGACGTATGCGGGGTCTGGGGGTGTGTGTGTGTGTAAATCTTCATTTTATTTCCTATGTGAGAGGGGCACTTGGCACAATTATCTTCAATCCTGCCCCCATTTCTCCCCTTCAATCTCATTTTCCAGGAAGCAAAGTGGAAATTTTATTTTAGCAACAATTTCATTCCTGAACATCACTGTCGTTTTTTTTCCCTGACATTGCTTTTGAGATCCCCTCCTCTCTTACTTTTATTTTACATAGTTCCTGAACTATGTGCATACAAAGAAAGAGGTTATCTTTCCCTTCCTAAGCATTTAGAAAAGGCTGTGGGTAATGCAGCTCTCTGCTTTAAAACAACCACCATGGAGGGCTACTTCAAGGCAAACCTTGCAGCTTTCAACTTTTAGATATAGCAGTATGTTTGGTTTGTTAAGAAATGCAGAGTCTGACCTTAATTAATTCTTCTTTAAAAATTACCAAAAAAAAAAAAAAGAAAAGGAAAAAAAAAAAAAAACGGAAAGAAAGAAAAAAGAAAAAAAAAAAAGAGGAAGAAAGTCTGCAGAACTGCCTTAAAATTAAATTCAAAGGAACACTTCCTGGGGGTCAGTCTCATTTTCAGGCTTTAGTCTTTTTCTTTCCACTTATGCCGCAAAGGAGAATGACTAGCAAAGGGAAAGGCAGGTGTTTAGCAGTTGTTTTTTTTTTAAAACAACATATTCTCCCCATCCCTGTTGGTTTGCATTTCTGCCCAGAGGTGCTATGCTTCTGGTCCCAGCTTGGAGAATTGGCCAGGGACCACCACCTTAGGGCCATCACTACTTCATAAGTTCCCTGGTTGCCACAGTTGTCCTTTAGATAGATTGCTAACACCTGGCACAGGATTGGGGCATGGTTTGGGGGGTTGGCTCCTTGTGTCCTGGGGGTGTTGACACAGGAACACAATTCTTCCCAGCTCGGCCAGCACCTGGTAGGGAGAAGGAAAGCAAAGAAAAGGTGCTGGAGACAAGAAGGCAGCATCTTCAAAGGTCAGATGAGTAGGGGTATCATCAGGGAGAGGAATCAGCCATGAACATACTTGGGAAAACAAGCAAAAAGTTAGAGGATCCCCAGACCTTCTCACTTGCCTTTCAGGAGAATAGTCACTAGTAGTGACTGATGTTGTTTCCTGGTGAATCCTGGTTTCATTTTTTCCCTCTATGGTGGCCCCCAAATCCATCTCTGTCAGATCCACAGTTGGGTGATACAGTCATGAACCTAAGACTGAAGAGTTATTACTACACAGTCACCACACGTGCCTTTTGCTGGGCCAGATCCCACCAGAGACACAGCTTTATCCTTCCTTCAGGCTGTGACATTGTTATGTACGATCCAGGCTCACTGCCCTTCATTCTGCATGTTATTCAGAAGACTTCCACCCTAGAGGAGCCAGCAGAGAGCTCAGCACTTTCTGTTGTTATGGTCTGGTCTTGGCTTACCCCTGCAGCCCAAGTTAGGATTTGAGAATCTCTTTCCAATGGTCTTGACATGGTCAGAAATCTTTACAGTAAAGATATCTGTTTCTTAGGAGGAACTGCTGAAGATTCATGGACAAATACTGAACCACTGAGTTGAGAATGGCTACATTGCTTCTGTTGACAAATTCTTTCCAGAAAGGACACAACCATGTTTATATCCTCAAAACAAAATAGTTCTGAATTTGATATGCAAAGATCTTAAAACATTATTGGATTTTCCCTTTTCTCATATTTATGTATGGGTTCTGATATTTAGAAATAAACCTATGGCAAACAGATGTCTTAATTTTCCCTTGTCCAATGGAAAGGTGAAAAAACTCATTTATGGAAATAGCTGTATTTCTGTAGAACTGTAGTTTTTTTTTTCTGTAGATAGTTCCTTAACACCTCTGAGGCAAATGTTAATTTCTTTAAGCTTAAAATATAACACTGGGTATTTACAGACTTTTCAGCATCCTGTCATAATCTGTTTGAAGGATAATATCAAATAAAATATTCAAATTAAAAGAAATTTTTAAACTTTTAGTCTGAAAGTGTTTGGTTTTCGTTGTTTTTTTTTTTCTCCCCCACCAGTTTCTCCTTGCATCTTAATCTTTTGTATGTGATCTCTGGTACACTTTTACTAGACAAGCCACTTTTTTTTTCCCCTTTCTTTAGGATGATTCATCCTAAAAATTGCAGTTCGGGAAGTCATAATGATGTTTGTGCTGTACAGGGGTCTTAGACTAAGAATTCCCTCAAGCTTCCCAAAAATTTCATGTGGATCTTTTACCCAAAGCTGAACAGACCACAGCAAAGTCTGTCTGCTTGGATAAGAGTTGAGTGCCTCTTTCACACACAGCTTTATGTAAGCAAAGATGAAAGCTGTGAAGATATGAGAAAGTCTTTTGTATGGCTTCCAAAGTTCGAGTGATTTCTGGTATCCTAAGAGTGAAAACAAAAAAGTATGTCTGACATTCTTCTGTCTGGTTTGATAGCCTCTTTATGAAAAAGAAAATGCACTCATTTAAGGCAATTCTCTCATTTCAGCGGGTTTACTGCTGCCCAGTGCTGAAAAAGGAGTGAACAACAATAGGCTATATTTTTTTCCAAGTATGAATTCATAAGAAAATTCCCTGATGCGATATTTAGTTGATGAATAATTCCTCCGGGTCACAAAATAATGAAATGATGAATGGTGCTTTCAGACTTCAGTCGCCAAAACAAAGTTCCCTTTCACTGCATGGATTTAGTTCCATGTCTCTGCCAATAGTGGTTTTGATAGAATAATATTCTTCCTGCTTCAGCCATGACTTGCCAAATGTGTGAGGGCAGCATTTCAGCTACATTTCAAAGTCACATCCTCAGTTTTTATGTGTTACTGCTCTGGTGGAGTCAGGAACCAGCACCCAGAGAGAAAAAGCACCAGTGCAGGCAAATTCCTGCAGCAATTCACCATGCCAAAGCATAAACATGGGCAAGCTGCAAAACCTTAGAATTCTTTTTTATATACAGATACAATAAGTTCGAAAAGCATAGCTTCATATCTTATTCAAGGACTGTATCTAGACATAAGTGTACATTGTATACTGTACATAAGTGTATATAAGTGTACTGTGGTGATAGTGGAACATGTTGTGCTCATTCATCATGCTTTGCACTACGTCACCAAACACTTGTCAGAGCTCTTGTAGTTTAAAAGTTGAACAACAACTGTTTTCCCTTTCTCCCCACCCCTGATATGGTGAGGCATTGGCATAGGCTGCCCAAGGAGGTAGGGAGCCCCTGGAGGTGTTCAAGAACCGTGTAGATGTGGCACTGAGGGACATGGTTAGTGGGCATACAGTGGTGATTGGTCAACAGTTGCACTAGATGATCTTAGTGGTCTTTTCCAACCTTAATGATACTATGATTTTTATATTCCAATGAACTAGAAGTACGTCAATATGCCATAGGATTTTCTCTAGTTTGACTTGACTATATTTTCCAGGTGAATAAAAAATCCTATTGCACCCTTCCCTAAAAATCAAAGTCCCAGAGAACAAGTCAACCCTATTCACATGGTCCAATTCACAAAAAGCAGAGGAAAACAAAACAAAATAGTAACACACACAAAAAAACTCCAAACCTCTGTGGGAAACATAATACAAGACAAAGTTCTACAGGGAGTATGTGCTTCAGGCTAAGTTACAGCCTATGCTGTCAGCAAAGCTATGTTAGAATTGTCCTTATTTTCATTTCCCCAAGGTCAGTCATCTCCTCTGTAACTAAATCCATTGTGAGGCCTAGCAGTAAGGGGGAATTTTGGTCAATGTATGGATGCAGGCTGTAACCATACTTTTACCTAGGCTTTGGGGAATTTCGGTGGTGGTAAAACTAACCTGGGACATTCCTGTACTCTATGTTTTCACTTACTTTCAAAGCTAATATGCTCCACGTTGCTTGCACGGAGCAGAAATATAGAGCAGTTCATTCTGCTTGAAGTTCTGACGAGCTTTATTTTTGTTTATCTAAACCAATGGAAATTTGCAGCATTTCATACTCTACATGCTGTTTATTGAAAGAAATACTAAAGATATGAATAAACCCGCCAGAAGTAATGAAGTTTTACTACCAAATTGTTCACAGAGATAACTTGACAAACGACATAAGCACAAGGTAATCATAAAGAAAGCTCAGAAGAACAGTTAGGATATTATTCACCCACAGTAAAACCATCATCCCCCCAGTCACATGCTTGTTTGTTCTCACAAAAGTGGTTTCTATCTATTTTATACTCCTTTCCACATCTGACAGCCGGTTCATTGTACATAGCCCGGATGCCTGCATTTAGCTCTTTGCTACATGAAGCCAAACACAATAGCAGTAGTATACAGTATTTTATGGTGCTGTATTTCAGCTGATGGATTTGTATATTATGAAGGCAAATATGTGTACTGGTTTTAAATGTTCTACCTTTGGACATCATTTTGCTGTTCTCATCCCAATGCTGTAAAAAACAAATAGATGAATAACATGCTTTTTTTTGCACAGTATCATGCTTCCATGTCCTCTCTTTTCATTCAGCCTCTAGTTCTGTTGCACCAGTAGGCAGAAACATACAATTCATAAATACAAGCCCTACACAATTCAACATTCAGCTAAAGAGCGGAAGTCAGAAACACACATAAGCAGGCCTTTTCTTTACTTCAAACTCTGTTTTTTCCCATTCTAGATCAACTTGTAAAATACAAAAACATATTTCTACAATCTCCATATGCTTAACAAGGGTTTCTTGTTAGCTTTGTGCCTTTTCATCATCCTTCTGAAAATTTTTTTTCATTCCCACGTCCATTTCTGCAACAGACCTTTCTCTTTTTTTCCCTTTATTTTATTAAAAAGAAAAAAAAAGAAAAGCCCAGTAGTCCAAACGTTTGTAGTATCCTTTCTTAAAAACAATCTTAACAATTCTTAGAAAAAAACAACCCAACACCTGAAGGCCAAGTGTGGACCTTATTGAGCAGAGAGATCTGACATGACACAGCCAAGAACCCTGGAGCAGTGCTCCTTTGCCTGCAACTCATTGGATTCAAAATACTCCTGGGGAAGGTCTGCTTCACTCCCTTGCCCCTTCCCATACAGGTGTGGAGGAAACTTAAATTGCAGCTGTGGGGAAGTTTGAAAAAAATCAGGTTTCCTCCTTTGACAGTTACGGGGTTCAAGAGAAAAATTCCCAATTGCAAGAGCTGCTGGTCTGTAACTGGTTCCCCTTTCCTTGCAATCATCAGATCAGCTATTACTAAGCATTAGGGATTCTATAAAAGCTTTTTATGACAAGAAGTGGGTTTGTTCATTCTCAGCTCACCCACTCTCTTTCATTTCACTTGACTCAGCTTTTCGGCCTCCACACAACCTGCTTCATCCGGGAAGTACACATGAAGTAGATGTGCAAGGGAAAACCAGATAGCATACACTTGCTGCATGAAGCCAAGAGGACAGGAGTAAAGGGAGGACTGCTCTGCCTAATACCTTCCGAACACTCCTTAAATTCCCCCACCTCTTCCCCCCAGGCAGGTGTGATTATGTGGAAACAGGAGGCAACCATGTTAGGTTAAGGAAATGGCCGTGGAAACCATTGAAGGAGAAGTAAACTTCTCTTTGCCTTTAAATAACTTTCTAGGAAAGGGTGGTAACTTCCTTGTATCTGATGGCTTGGAGCCTGCCGCCAGGGTTACAAGTCTGATCCAGCTGCAGACATGCTCCATCTCCCATGTCTGCTGGGGAGAAGGTTCCTGGCAGCTCTCAGTAATGTCAGCAGTTCCACACACTTGCTGCTTCCCTCTACCCAGAGCAGCACCTCCTAAATCACTGTTCCACAAAATACCACACTGCCTCAGAAAACCCTCACTCCGCTTGGACCTGGGATGTTGAAATATGGGAAAATAATAAATACAGCATAGAAAATGCCAACCACAAGTTGCATTACAGACCCACACAGCCAACAGTCTTAGAGTCTTAAATAAATAATTCACAGCTTTTCTTCTACAAAACGGAATGAAGTTGTTTAAGAAAATAAATATGTATTATGGAATGTTCTTTTTTTCCCCCTCTATTTCCTTTGGTGTGATATCACAGCAGGTCTGCACGACAGTCCAAGATGTCCACATGTAGGGCATGCAGGAGCTCATGTGTTGGGCACTGCAGTAGTAGCCTGCTTGCCAGTAAGCATGTACTGTCCACATGCTCTCTCCTTGGCACATACAGCAAGGACCTAGCAGAAGAGATGTTTTATTTCACTTTTTGAAAAATATATGTATGCTTTAAGTGCAGAGGTTCAGACTCAGGCTGCCTGCATTACTAAATGGGGCTTTGTGTCTGTCGGTGCTCAAGCACGGTAGACAGAGCCTTTCCCCTCGCAACCCCCTTAAGTAGACCTCAGCTTGGATTTAGAAAAATAGCATCAGTGGAAGAAATGCATTGTACTTCCTGCCTGCCACTGCCTTATTTTTTCTCCTCAACATTAACTGAAGGCAAAGGTGCATGCCTCAGGCATACTCTGCAGAGAGGAGGAGGTGCCTTCAGAACAAAACAGGACTTAGTCACGTGGCAGCATCTGCTCCTGTGTTAAATTTGCATCCTTCACAGAACCCAGTAGGCTCACATGTGGCTGCATTTCCCATCCTGAGCAAGGCACTGTGGCATGCTCCTCTTCAAGAGCCCCCCTCCTATTCAAGACACGTCCTTGAAAGCACGGCCTAGCCAAGCAGAAGAGTGGTATAAGGGTATGGTTCCCTTCTGAATTTTGCTGTTCCTCGGCGAGGGAACACAGACCTACCCAGCAAGGCCAGGCTGTGTTTCTCTCTGGATCATGAAGGTGTCTCAGGCAGCAGCAAAGGAGCAACACGAAGAGGAGAAGGAACATCAGAGGGACCAGCACCCCCACAGCAATGGCCACGGTTGGTACACTGATACTGTCCTGACCTGTGGGAAAAGTAGCAGGTGTTCAGGCAGGCTTGTGCATGAAGAAAGAACACCCAAACCCATTTTGGACATCCCTTGGCTGATCCTCCGGGTCAGAGGAGGAAAAAAGACACGTGCAAGCATACAGACAAGCAGTACAACTAACAGACCTGTGTTTGGGGTCTGGTGACCCAGAGACAAACCACAGCATCCCAAATGGATGGCAGATGTCCGTACCATTGCCCAGGATGTCTGGCTGTTCCCTAGCAACTTCTCCTGTCCCTCCCCATCCCAGCTGCTCTTCATGGTGCCTTTCCCACCTGCCCTCCAGCCCTTAGAGGCTGATAATACCCCAGGAGATGTTTCCATGTCTTCTTTTCCAGGGAAGGAGTCAGGTTGCATACTGACCTTGTGTTAGATTGTCCATGGGCAGGGACAGGGTCACATTTAGAGATGGGTGCTGGACCACACAGGCAATGGGGTACTCCTTGAGGATTTTGGAGTGGGCATGGGTGAAGTTGCTGATGACAGTGATGGTCTGGTTACTGAGCTTGATGTGGTACTCCTTTGGTTTCTGCAGCAGAGTGCTGGGAAGTTGCCAGGTGATTTTTGGAGCTGGCTTCCCTGTTGCTGAGCAGCTCATCCCCACCACTACCTCAGAGACTTCAGCTTTGTCAGGACTGGGTATAAGTTTGGCTTCCACTTTAGGGTCTGAGATGGCTATAAAACACAAAGTAGAAAAATCTGTTACTTTCTGCTTACATTTGAGCTAAGAACACTTGTATTTACTGTTATCTTAGAATACCCCAAGCTGGAAGGGACTTACAGCTCCATGCCGTTCCCTCAAGCCCTGTCGCTGTCACGCAGAGCAGAGCTCAGCGCTGCCCCTCCGTTCCCTGCGAGAAGCTGCAGCCGCCATCAGGCTTCCTTTCAGCTCCTCTGCTCTGTGCCGAACAAACCCAGGGACCTCAGCCAGTCCTCACATACAGTGTCCTCTAGATCCTTCACCATCTTTACAGCTCTCCTGAGGATCCTCTCTAATAGTTTTATGTTATTTTTTTTATATCGTGGTGCCTGAAACTGCACACAGTTCTTTACAAAAATAAAGAGCATGGCAAAATCAGAGGACAAGAGGGTAGAAATGCACAACTTTCAAATTCACTACTAAAAGCAGCCCTACAGCATCTCAGCTGATTAATGGTAATGAGGGACAAGTGAAAACAACAGACAGTGAAACTGTGAAACCATGTCTTCCTCTCTTCAAAAGAGTTGAACTGCTTCAGTGACTCAAAGCACTTGCTCTTATCCCTTAAGTCATCTGCAAGATTTGTTTTATTGCTTTTCAAGACATGCAAACTTGAGCACTTAGGGACTAAATGCATCTATTTATGCAAGACAGTAACTGAACGTGTATAAAGTGACACCACAGGATTTCAGCTGTGAAGGCTTTGTGTTTATACATTCTTTCTTTCTCCTAATGTCAAATTTTGGGGTGTCATGGTAACCTCCAAAAGTTTGGTTAAAGATCAGTTTTCCAAATTCCTCCCCACACTACAAGATTTGTAGCTGCAGCCTTATTTAGTCTTAGCAGATGCAGTGAACCTCTCACCACTCACACATAGTCACGTGAAACCTGCTTGATAATTCCTATTTGTATTTGCAGTATTTTCAGGAAATAAAGAAATGGGAGAAGTGCAAGAAGCTTTCTTCAACCTGGATAGAACTCCAGGGAAGATCTGAACACCTGAGGAGACACATCCCTGGACAAGATGATCTGTTTTCAAGAAAGCAGGAGAAAACACAGAGATGATGAGCTCTTCTCCATTGTACGAGGTTGGAAAACCAAGGTGTTTGGTCCTGGAGGGAAATCTGGAGTTTAACACTGCAAACTCATTAGCAGGAAACAGGATGTTTGTCAGAGTACCCAAACCTTGCATTGTTTCCAGAACGGCCAAACTGAAATTTTTGTGTTAAAAATTAAACAAGCGGCTGGATTTTCATGAGAACTCAATATCTGCTATTCACTGCTACCACAAGTGGATGCACTTTGTACCTGTGAAAATCAATCAAATCATAAAATCATAGAATAATCTGGGTTGCAAAGGACCTCTGAAAGTCCCCTAGTCCAAGCTCCTCCTCAAACCAATCAATTTAACTCAGACTGTCATGCCAAGACTTATAAAGGCATATAACTCCATTTGGGAGTGAGATCTCCCAGTACACAAGTTTCCAGATAACAGTTCATCAGCCTGACCTCTACATCAGTGCATGTACTGGTAGTACCGGGGTCCAAGTCATATTCTTCTTCCAAGTGTCTGCTTCTGATAATGTTGCCCTTTAAAATAATCTAAGTGCAATGGCATTTCTGGTTTTGTTCAAGTTTGAGTTAATATGAATGTCTTCTGATTCAACAAGCATCTATTAATAGATGAGAAATAGTATTATTTAGTAGTGCTATATGCATATATTACTATTTTACATAGCAAAAAAAACCAATGAGAACAATACTTATGCTGAAATTGATTTTTGCCAAAACTTCAGCAAACAAATAACTATTTTTTAGTAGTGCTGGGCTTAAACTGAAAATTTTGTGTAATCTTCCTAAGAAAAATGTTTTATGTTTCATTTTGGGCCGTAGAAGAAGGTGTCTCTATGAATGATATATAAAGAACACAAAATGGTTCTGTTAAAGGGGGGGGCACATGCCAACTGCATAGCAGCACCTATGCCCCTGGTAAAATCCTATATGCACCTCATGAAACTGGATCTTCCAAGCCATAACAGCCACTAAGTCATTTTACGTCATCATTTTTGCTTTCCTATGGCTTTGCCTCACTATTTACTATGGTTGTGCTGCTTAGAAGAGTAAAGTAGATATTTCTCAATGTTTGCATCACCCACAGGTAGAAACTCAGACCCTGGAAACAGAGCTGGTGAAACCGTGTTTGTGCTGCTCTGAGCTAAAAAAAAAAAAAAAAAAGGCTTAGGGGGATTTCAGTTGGAACTTCTCAAAATCTCCCATCTTTGAAATGACAAGTGTCGTAAACACTTTATGTTTTGATTAATAAATGGTTTCTGAACTTCTTCTTTCGCTCACGGGATGTATAAAAAAAATAGCACATCCACCCACAGTGCTAACTTCAAACATCAGGTTACAAACAACAGGTCTAAAAGCAGTAAAGGAAAACTGCCACAGACTTTTCCCTTGAGTTTTACCGGAGAGCCTGTTTTAAAAAGCACAGAAGGCAGATTGGTGCCGCTGCTCCAGTCTAGCAATCTCAAATCTTAACCAATTACAAAAGATTAAGGTGAATCTTGGCTTATAAAGGCACACAGAGGAGAAGAGAAAAAATTCTCAGCATCACATCTTGGCAGACATACATATATATGTCAAATCCATTCTCCTCACTAGACAGTTCTCTGCCTTCCCACACTGGAATACAGAGAATTATCTGTAGGCAAGAAAAACACTGGACAGTTGCTCTTTGCCTTACTATATGCCTGTAGTAAATATACAGTCAAAATATGTGAGCACTTTCTCTTGCACATGCTGTTTGTTAGCATGTGCACTGAGTTGGTGTTTGATGCATGCATTTAGAGTATCTGCTGGTTTTCTACTTCATCAAAATATTTATTTCATGTGAAAAAACTACTTACAAGACATGTTATACCTGACTTCATAGGCCCTTCAGAGCAGCAATGTAAACATTCTCAGGCTTGAGCTGTGAAGGTGCTCCTAACTATTGGAAAAGGTAGCTTTCTAGTGAATGTGTGCCAGCTTTGGCTGCAATTGGGCTTCTGTTATTTAAGGGCAACTGCTAGATCATGATGTGCTTTTAATATTTCAAGGCTGAACTTTGGTCTCAAATTAACGGCTGAACATTTTTAGGAATTAGTGTGTCTCATGTGCCTTTTCCAGCCATGTGGATGCTCGTCAGCAACACAGGCTTAGCTGCCTGATCTAAGTCAACACTGTCATGGCTTTCTCCATGGTGCTGGAGACTTCCATGTGGATGGGGCTATCTACTTGCAGGCAGAAGGCATCTGTAGGTCTCTGATCCAGCAGAATCTTGCCTAGACTCAAGTGACACACGCCCCTCTCTCCATACTTCAACCCTTTTGGGTTTTATTTTCATCATCTTTTGAAACAAAAGTCAGCAAAACATTTCTAGTGGAAAATGGAGGTGAAAAAAGAACGGCACTAAAGAAACTTGCAAAGCAGGTTGAAAATACTCTGTGCCAAAACATCATTTGTTATGGGGTAGAAGACTGCTGCTGCTGCTTCACATTGTTGTTTTCAGCTAAATAGGTCTGGGATTTTTGTCTCCCATACCTACTTCATTTTTCCCAGCATCATTTCTGGTCCTTACCAAGGTTTCACTTCTGCACACTATGCAGCACTGTGTCCATTCTGGAAGAGCCTCTTCTGACAGAGGTTGTTGCAACTGGGTAATAACCAGCCTGTAAACTCCCTGGCTGTCCCTGTCAGATGGCAGACACGTGAAAGCTGATCATTTGCTTGAGATGCTGCCATTAGTCAGCTTGCTTGCCTTGCCCAGAATCCCCTTACCCCCAGACATTTCTGCCATCTTCTCCCTCCCAGTCTGCAGAAGGGCTTGGCTGGGAAATCAAGGATATTAAGAGCATCTCAAATGTGTTACTGCCATTAGGCTACAATGAACATTTCCTGCAAGCACTTAGTTGGTTATGTGCTCATTCTAGCACTGGGGCAACACGCTGCCAGCTGCCAGGGAAGTGAAACCCCCAACTGACTTGTCTTTGAGAGAAGCAGGTAGAGCAGTTGACAAGAGTACATCAGAAAAAACACACACACACACACACACACAGAAAAAAAAAGAAAAAAAAAAAAAAAAGCACCAAAAACCCCCCAGCTTTTGTTGCTTTTGCTTTCATGCCTTGAGCTCTGCTAAGAGGTGGATCATAGCCACAAAACTGGTAATTTTGGGAAACATTTCCCACACTTGGATAAAAAACAGGCAGAATAAATCAAAGCCAATTTAACTGCATGTTTAGATTCTCATAGTAAGCAAGAACAAAATCTCTCAGCTAGGCTCTTCCATATATTCCTGTAATGCATGATTCAGCATTTACCCCCTGTGTGACTGCGCATCAAGTGATCTGCTCTAGGAGCTTTATCAGAAGAGAGGAAAAAAGGACTTCTGCTTCAGATCTGTTTTTCCCACATGTTTCCCCTTCTCTTTCCCCTGTTGCTTATGTCATCATTCCTCATAAGCCAAGGTTGTCTGTTCCTTCCCTCAGCACAGGGCTCCTTGCATGTAAGGATGCTTGTGGCTATGTGCTTTAACTCTCTCCTTGAAACAAACTGATGCTGACCTGTACAAAATACAGGTCAAAAAGTCAGTGGGACATGTGGGGACAGCTGCCAATGTAGTGTTGGGCCAGAGGAACTCTAGGGAAGCAGTAGGTCACCCGTCAGCTACTGTTGACTTAAAAGGGAAGAAAATTGGAGAAGTGTTCAACAGTGCCTTCTCATCTGAAGTAAAAATGACAAGAAAGGCAAAGCCAGGGAAACAGAGCCACCTTTCCCACAGAGATTTAGCAATGAGCACTGACCAGGGAAGATTTTTCCCCAGAGAGTGGCTTGATCCTCAGAAAGATGTCATACCCTTTCTGCAATTAGAGAGTGTCTTACCGTAAACCTTGAGGCACATCCTGCCAGTGACAGCTCCCGAGGGAAAGGTGTTGAAGATGCACTTGTAGCATCCTTCATCTTGCAGGGTGACTCGGTGAAGGGAGATGGCCGAGGCTTGCAGGCTGCTGTGGGCAAAGCTCACATGGCCTTCGTAGTCCTTTGCTATCTTTTGGCCATTCATTGTACTGTAAGTTGCTATGTTGTCTTCAGCCCCATCCATCTCCTTCTGCCAGGTCACTTGTATTACGTCTTCGTTCATGACTGACTGGCATGAGAAAGTAATATTTCCGCCTGCCTGGACCGACTGCACCTTTTTGTGCATCACCTGCACAGAGCCTGGTGAAGAAGCAGGGTCCACATTTAGCATCTTTCACTGTCCCACTGCAACCCACCCCACCACATGTTTTGCACCTGCAGCCATCACACTTGGAGGGCTTCCCAGACCCTGCTGCCAGAGGAAAACCAAAAACACAACCTAAAGGAGTTTGTTTTCAGTCAACCATGGGAGTTTGGCTGAAGGTGGCACCTCTCACACCACTTCCTTTGAAACACTTCAGCAGCTCTGTACCTGTGCTGTGATTTGGGATCTCCATGGGGAAGGGAAAAATAATCACTCCTTTTCCAATTCACTGCCACATAGGGAAAAAAAATACAAAGAGACAGCCAAGTGCCTGAATGCTCCCAGGTTTAACAGCCCAGACCCAAAGCTCTTTGGTTCATAGGATGATAGCTCTTAAATTTTATCTGCGCACATCTCTCTGTGGTGTGTGGGAAGGGAGATAGCATCAGAAATGGTTACAGCACTGAAAATGTATTCAGTTTGCAGGAACCTGAAGTACTGTTTTTAAAGAGGAGTGAGGCTGTCTGCAGTGCCTTGAGTCCACTTCGATCATATCTAAACCTCCTGGCGTGGCTTATCCAGGCAGAGATTTGCAGAACAGCCAGTAGCCAGCCATGAAGCCAGCAGGTATTTTGCAGTTCAGCCCTCAGCAGAGCAGAATAGGGCAGAATACAAGCCATGGCCATGGAAAGCTGTTTGGGGACAAATTCAGGCTTTGTTAACTATGAAAACAAATGTAACATGCCCACAGTTCTAATGGTCTGTCTAAAAGTATCATGTCCATCCTTACAGATAATTCTGTCCTGGCTAAAGAAAATCAGTGCTATACCCTGGCTCAAGTCTCATCTAAATCAGGAGTCAAAATCCAGTTTTAGTCCTGTGGGTCACTGGTTTATGATGCAGAATTTGTAAATAAAGCCAATCATTTGCCTTCAGCTTCCAAACACACTGACAACAAATCAATGAACAGATGCTGCCTTTGTCCCCTGAAGCCTTCTGCACCATCATAGTGATTAAGAAGGGAAGAGAGCAGGAGATTACCTGAGGCGAGGGCCCAAAGGCTGGACAGGAGCATGCAAGTGGCCATCATCCCAGCTGCGTCCCCAGTACCAACGAGCAACTGACTGATCCATTGCACCACGGCTTCCCCTTTTTTATATGCCTCGCTCTCTCTGGGGACATTCCCGTCTTCAAATACAGTAACAAGTGCCTCATAAACTCTTCCTGGTTCACGTGCACTCAGCTGAATAACAAAAATTCTGACAAGTGTCAGAGCTGGAAACCTAGGTTTCCCAGTCAGACCACCAGAGAGACAGGGTTTACAAGGCTGGGTTTTTCAGAAGCACCTTTCTTATGAGGTTTTGTCAAGGGCTTAAAGTAAAGCCCAGATCTCTACCCTGGCTATGTGTCTGGGTGACAGCTGGGTGGTCCTGGAGCCAGCACCAAGTGCAGAGTAGGAGGAATGGCCACTCCAGGAGGAATAGCAGCCTGGGGTCTGCATGCACACTGGAGCACCAGGACCTGCTAGTGCCTCAAGACCTCTGGGCACAGGTTGAGGTGGCTCACCAGGCTGCTCTGAGTCACTGTTTTTGAGCCATTTTTGCTTTGTCATGTCTATCTCTATGCTTCTCTTTTTCTGACAGCAGGGATCACGTTGCCAAAACCAATACAAATCTTGTCCCATGGGTCACTTCTGCATCCTTCATCAACTCAGTCAGCAAGACCTCATTTGCTAATCAAACTGTTACTGGCATGCTCAGTCTCATGTTTCTGTTCTCTGATTAGGTGGCTTATGTTTTTGTAAATGATGATGACACTGACAATTCTGACAACTGTGACTGCATTAGAAATGTTTTTGTTTATCATTTATCTGAATTGCCGTGCAGGCTAACCTTCAATCATATGGGTGGCTTGGGAAAAACCAACAGACCCAAGCCAAAACACAACAAAAACTTCTTAAGCATGTTCACACACACAGTTCCTCCTTTCAAGTGGTAATTAATTACCTTAAAAAAAAAAAAATAGCTGGAGTTTTGGTATTCCCATTATGCTTAAGAAACATTTTGGACACACTTTTGAGTAGGCACAGTGATTCAGTCATCTCATTCGGCAAACTGGGACTGCCTCACACCACAGTATTCCCCTTTTGAGGTATATCACTGTGTTTTCCTTTCCTAGAGTTATTTCCATTGTCTTATTCTACCTCGGTATTTCTGGAAGAGCATTTTGACCTAATCAAACGAAGCAAGAACATGAAATCTGTGAAATATGTTTCCTGTGAGATTTTCCAGACCATTCTACAGCTATTGTACAGGAGATAGCTCCAATAAGATATGAAGCAAGACCCTGGACCATGTCAGAGGGGTAAACTGACAGCTTTGAAATAGACACTTCCAATTTACAAGCAAATACCTAATTTCTAATCTTAACCCTCAGAACCTACAAAACTGAAAAACACTGAAGATTTACTGGAACTATATCCTTTTGCATCAAAGTCTCCTGGCAGGATGACAGTGATTTCTACAGGGATGTGGAGATGCTCTCCAGGCTTTGCTGGTGTACTTATGTTAGCTCTATTATGATTTTGAAACAAAACATTGACAGAAGAACTTCAAGAAACTTGAAGATCCTTATGATGAAATCTTCACGGCTGAACCTCACCACTTAGTGATCACAAAAGGAACTGCACTTTGCATGAATGAACAGCGTGCCTAGTTTACATAACTTTCTATTCACAGGAATAGAATCACACTCCATTTTATTTTTTGTCAAAAACATTCTACTCTTTCTAAAGTCTTTTCAAATCACTTGAAGATTTGGGCGCTGCTAGAGCAAACACCTTCTAATAAAGAGCAACCCTGCAGTCTTACCAACATCCTGAGAGAAGATAGAGATGGCCATTACAGGTGGCAAAATGGGTGGACTTCAAATTATTCACAGCACCCCTCCCTGGCTGCTCCTTCAGCCTCTCCCTGGGCTCCTGGTCACAAGGACCCCATTCTAGCTCACACAATGCACACCTGAGTGCTACAGCATCTCTGGCTCACTGCCTTCCTGCAGGGACCAGCAAACAACGTTTGCTTCACCATTTTAAACATAGGGCAGGCAGAAACATGAGATCCCACTCTAACTCCATCATTTAGATCAGTTTATATTTTTAAGTGCACTTATTTTGACATTTCACAGAATCATAAGGGTTGAAGGAACCTCTGGAAATCATCCAGTTCAACCTTCCATTATAGCAGTTCCCTACAACAGGTCACACAGAAAAGCATCCAGATGGGTTTTTAATGTTTCCAGAGAAGACTCCACAATCTCTCTGGGCACCATGTGCCAATGCTCTGTCCCCCTCACAATACAGAATTTTTTTCTCATGTTCAGATGGAACCTCCTGTGTTCCAGTTTGTGGCTGTTACCCTTTGTCCTGTCTTTGGGCACCACTGAAAGAGCCAGGCCCCATCCACTTCACTCCCACACTTTATTTATAAGCGTTGATAAGATGCCCTCTCAGTCTTCTCCAGACTGAACAGTCCCAGGTCTGTCAGCCTTTCCTCGTAGAAGAGATACTCCAGACCCCCAACAATCTTTACGTCTCTCCTCTGGATTCCCATTCTATTCTTTGCACAAACTTCAGGTGGATTACCCACTCCTTCCTTTCTCACCTGCTTATTTGCTTTCCAGTCAAATCCCACGCTCTCCCACTTCAGCTGCACAGCAGCTTCATTTCTTAGAACAGCATGTGACACCCAGACTTAAGGCATTTGCCAAAACACGGTGAAAATTTGGAAAGGATTAAGCTGATGATGTTTCTGCAAACCTTGACTGAAAAAGAGTATGATTTATATTTATCTCTTCTCTTCTGCTGCTCTAGAACAGTCTATTCAATTCATAGGAAGTCAAAAAAAGCATGTGCAGGAATTATTCACACATTGTCACAGCATTTCTACACAGCTCAAGTGACTAATCACGTTCATAAACCAGGGATTTGAACTTCTGTAAGATGCCACTGACCAGAGTTCCTTGTGCACAGTGGTAGATTTTGTTCTCTCAATCAGCCTAAAACACTGCAAAGAGTCCAGACAAGGACCATGAGGACATGAAGACAATCAGAGGACTGGAGCACCTCCCCCCACAAAGGTAGGCTGAGGGATCTGGGCTTGTTCAGCCTGGAGAAGAGAAGGCTGTGAAGAGACCTCACTGCAGTATTCCAGTATTTAAAAGAAGATTATAAAAAGGAGAGAGATTGATCTGAAATTATGAACCAGTGGAAGGTGCTTCTGGCCATGGCAAGGAGGATAGAAGTAGATGACATTTAAGGTACCGTCCAACGTAAACTACTCTCTGATTCTATGACCACAAATAAACATTTTTTAAACAAATTACCTTATACCTAATAACTTCTGCAGTTATGTCTGAAACATGTGAATACTGCTTGCACAGCAAAGTCTATCTTGTATTTTCCAAAACTCATTTATGACGAGTTCTATATTAATCAATACAAAGCGAACAGTTAAAGCATAGGAATATGTTTTCCCATAGGAAGAAAGAGTGAAAAGGAGAAAGGGAGGGAAGGATATATTGCAAGACTGGAATAAGAAAGATATCCTTGACTAGAGTTAGTAATGTGTAAGCAAATATTCTTCATCCTCAACAATTTGTAGTGCTTCTTCTTGATGTTTAGCAGGTGGGGAAGAAAGACAGAATTGGTAAACATGGATCTAACGGTAGTGTTACAATTAGAATTTATTATGCAACACCCTTCCCTTCCCCCATGAGAAGGGGAAGAAGTAGGGGAAAAAAAGCCAACTTGATTCAGGTAAGAAAATTAACTTACTAAAAATAATGTGAGATAATACGGAATAATTTGAAATAGTAAATTAAAAAAAAAAAAAAACTCCTATGAAGAAGAGTAGAGGAAACTGAGTTTGTTTAGCTTGGAAAAGAGAAGCATCTGAGGAGACCTCATTGTGGCCTTCTAATATTTGAAAGGAGCGTATAAACAGGAGGGGGAATGGCTGTATAATGAGTAAATGAGAAATAAACTGAAGAAGTAAATGGAGTTTTAAAATATAAGGGTTCTCTTCTCAGAAATGTAGTTTGCTAAGGAAGCATACATATTTCAAGCAACTCATACTGGGTGGTTTATCTGCTCTCAAATAACTATAGTTATCTACCCAAGTCAGTATTGGTGACCTTGTGACTTCTCTAGGGCCAATTTATAAGACTTGGCTTTGGTTTCTAGGATGGTTCAGATCATGGGGATCCGCAATGAGATGAGATTCTCTCTCGAGGTGCCTCTTCTCCCCCTTTTTCCCTGTGAAAAGCAACCATATTAACTATCTCATGCTAATTTTTGATGCTTGCCTTAGGGCAGATGACCCCAGTAGCCCAGCTACTCTCTACAGAGAGAATTTCCACAGCAGCCTATTGCTGGGGATACCAAAGATTTTACCCCAAAGCTAAGAAGTAGCATCACTAGAAGGTTATTTTGTCCATCAGCTGTTTGGAGAACATGTGTCCCTGTGGGCCTAGCTAAAAATCCCACCAACTTCTTGTTGTTAGGAACACTTCATGTTTGAATGCCTTCAAATGAAAAGATAAATTAGTGGTAGCACTTTTGAAGTGATATCATCTTCACCAGTCACAAAAATCCTGTTAGTTACCCATCAGAACTGTTTATATTTTTCTTCAAGTGCTGACAAATATATTTTCTAATTGAGATCAAAATGGCATTATTTTCCCTTGAGTGCACTACTGTTTTATTTATATTTATTTTTTTAAAAAAACCTCTGATATTTCAGGGGTTTATAAGTTTTGCTTTGTTTGTTTCTTTCTTAGCAAAGGTTTATTTTAATCAAATGTGAGTATTAACAATTTGTTAGCTATGATCAAAAATAAACTTTTAGATCTGGAGAGCAAACACACTGCAAAGCTCTCACAGTTTAATCCTGGATTATGCAAACGCTCAAATACAAGGAAGCTCATATAAGTATGAGGAGGCATGGCCATGGGAGGGCTTGGGGTACCACTCACTCAGCTCCATTCTCAGACATCTGCAAATCTGGATCTGTGCTTAGGTGAGGTCTGCCCAACTGTTTGCAGACCAAAAGCCAAGGAAATCAAATGTACAAAGAGCCCCTGGGAGCAGAGCTGGGATTTTGTGGCAGATGATTCACATGGACCAGGGAGCTCTGCCACAAGTGTTTGCAGTGCTGACCCACCATCTCAGTTTATGCAGCAGATCTATGCCCTCACTTACCCCCATGGCTCCCAACGGCTTGTATCCAAAAATAGGCAACCTGGCTCCAGTTGTCCCCTGTCCCTGTCACATCACCAGTTTCTCCCAGCCCTTGCCTTCAGCCCCTCCATTCTGCACTATATGAACAGGTACATTAAAGAGATCTGATTTTCAGAAAGTGCTAGCACTTACAAAGCATTTCAAATAGAACATTCAAACACAAGAGCAAATAAAGTCTTTGGGTTTGGAAAAGCTTGGCTAGTGTTTGAAAACGGATGTTTTCAGTTCTCAGATCTACTGAAACACCTGAAAACAGTAAAACAGTATGACTATCCATGGATCCACAGACCTTCTGTGGGCTCAGATGTTTCCTCAGCTTATTTTTAAAACATGTTGGAATTTTTCTTGTCCTAACTTTTTAAAAGCTTATTAAGCTTTAAGAGCTTAGAGAAACCAGTTCTGAAATGTTTAGTTGTAGTTTCCTCTTAAATGAGCATAACTGTTCGCAGTTGCCAACAGCAATAAAGGCAAGGAAGCAAAGTGTCAATTTCCATAACTGAATTATGAATTAAAAAACAAACTTTCAGTGATCCAGACCATAAAAATACAAGACGAGAGACTGCCACTGACAAAAATTAGTCTGTTAAATTGAGATGCTACTAGGTGTCATTGTGACTCTGGGTAGCACATCTGCCTTACAGCCAAATACTTGAGGGTTCATGTCTCATGCTGGGACCTTGGCTCCCATTCAGAATATTGCAGAAATAAGCAGTGTGTGACACTTTCAGAGGTGCTGCCAGCTCTCCAGTTGGAAATTAAAGGTCCCCTGAGTACCCTTTCAATAGAGTGAGTAATAATCCCAGCCAAGATTCCATCTCCCAATAAAAAGAATTGGTAATGATTGGGACATATTTCACAAAACAGCAGAGGTCACATAAATCAATGGAAAAGACTCATTAAAAATGTTGTTCCTCCATATGTATTTTTAACATAGAAAGTCACTTATTTGATTAAGTTTCAACAAGGTTTTTAAGCATAAATGGCCCATACAGGAATATTCAAAAATAGATATCTTCCATTACATATTGTTAGGAAACAGCTAATCCCCATGGACATCTTTGAAAAATTCAGCTTCGGTTTACGAAAAGTCCATGAAAAATGTCTAATAGCAGAGTACCACAGCAGCATTTGTGGATTATTAAGTATGAAGATGCTGATGAGTGTGCTGCTGCACTCTCAACATACCAAGAAATGATACATTTCCAAGTGTACTTTTGCACTGGAGACCGTTAACCTGTCAAGTTGGCATTCATACACCTTTACATCTCCCCCTGAGAAATCTTCCACACAGCAGGAATCACAGTGAAGTTATTTAATGGCATTACGTGAATATTCTGCCAGCACTGTATACAAGTCTGGAAGAGATTTTTAGCATCCCTTGTGTGGTTTCACTGATGCAGGACGGGCTTTCAACTAAATTCTCTATCCCCCTCAGCCCTGAAAAGATAACCTGACATGCAGCATTTCAGTGTGCCAAGACTCTGTAAACTGTTTGGGGACAGCTAGAAGAACAAAACAGGCTGCAATGGTAAGCTGGACCTGGCTCTGTGGACTTAATCAATAATATACTCCATTGTTTTTTCTTTGGAAACACAGAATATAGAGCAAGGCCTTGAATGCCTATGTGTATTATGGAGAAAC